AGGAAAACAAGCCAACAAAAGTTCTAAGTGCTGTATAATTAAACATGTGCGTGGGCCCTCCAACTCTGCACATGGTGATTGCTCCTCTTCCCCTCAGGCTCCTCCATTCTGAGGACCATGTAAGTAATGCAGAGCCAGGATTATAAACCACGCAAATGTGGCTTCCCATCACTACCAGATGATACTGGAGAGATAAACTGGCTGAATATCATATTCTTATCTTGCTGCCAATGAGCAGCAGTGTGGCTTCATGCCATGCTCTTAGTGCTTCCCAGTTAGCTGTTGTTGAAGCCAGGGCTACCAGCCTTTCCTTCTGGCAGAGCAAATCCCAATTTCAGAAAACAGGCATGAAAATGCAAGCATAACCGAAGGGTAACTCTGAATAGATGTTTACTTCAGGCTGCTTCTGGTTATTTTTGGAGAATAATTCTTTTAATTTTGAATAAATTAAAAATAAATTGGTTAACACACTTAAAATAAATTATTCAAGTAATTAAAATTCTAAGTGAGCTTTGAAAGATTTCTTTTTCTATGTAAGCTCATGTACAAATGGGCTCCCTGCTGCCAACCCATTGTGAGATCTTTTTTTTCCTTTCTTTTCTTTTTTTGTAACTCAGAGATATATTTAGATTGGGAACAGTTGGTTTGTTTAGTGGTCTATTCAGGCAAATATGGTGAAGAGTTCAGGAGAAACTGAAGAATTCACATCTGTATCATCCAAATTTGAAGTAATTAACATTTGAATGTTTTTATGTTAATATGCTGTTCGTAGATAGAGAATTGTTTGCTTCCAATCCATTGACAATACTTTGTTCAACTGCTGTCAGCAGTTTTGTAAATTATTCTTTTTGGTAAATTTTTTTTGCAAATTTTCGTAAATTACTGCAAACTTTCGACAGTGTGTGCTGTTCTGAGAGAAAAGTGGGCAGTGCATCCACATGGCTCTGAGCACAGAGCCCTGGATAGGAACAGAGAGCAGAAACAGAAACACCACCTTGCTTTAGTGGCTCTTCCTGCCTTCCCTTGGCACCATCCCTGACACTGCTGCAGCACATCTGCCAGCCTGCAGCCCCACACAGATCCCAGTGCAGGAGCAGGGCAGAGGCCGTGATGGTGAGTTTGGGGTTGCTTTTCCCATCCCACAGCATCTCTAGAAGCCTTCCCTGAAAAGAAATGGGTTCAGCAGGGGCAGCCACCTGCCTCTGAACTCCCTTCTCGTGCACACGGACACTGCAGTCAGAGGCAAAGCAAATAACCAGAACCAAGTCAAGTCCCAGGTGTCCCTGCACAGAACAGGCTTTGCCAAGGAGCACCAGGTTTATGGAGCACGTAATTGGTCTGTGGGAGCACAGAAACCCACAGACAGCAGGGACCAGGCTGCACACACAGAGCTCCTCAGGGCTGCCACTGGACCTGCAGGTCCCCCAGGAGCCTGAGGACAGGGAAATAATGTACCAGGAAAAGAGGTCTGGAAATGCTGATGGAATACTTCATGGAGCAAGATGCTCTGCCAGTGCAGTGTAGCTTCACTGTCAGAGGACAATAACATTTATAAAGAAAAATATGGGGCTTTCAAGCATCTCATACAAATTGCCACAAGCTGTTCCATATTGGTCAAAACAAAGGATGTGAATTTGTGTATTAAATAGTGACATCATGTATTGTCTTGGACTTCAATATGACAGACTTTTTAGAAGAGGGGAGCAATTCTGAGTATTACAGGCAATATATTCATTTCATGCCCAAGCTTCTGTGAATTAAAAGCTTTGGGCATTAACTAATCAGACATGACTCCCAGAAATTATGTCTATGTGGTAATTTTGTTTTATTAGCTGATTACTGAGGACTACCAATAATTACTAGATGAAGCACCTTTGCAAATTCTGTTGTTCGAGTAAGAGGTCCAGTGTAAAATGTGAAGTATTTGTGGTCCCAGTGCTCTACAACAACCAGTCACAATGGAATCTGTTTCCTAGGACCTTAACCCTGCTTTTCACAGTGAGGTTGCAAGCCCTTCTCATCACAAGTGACATACCAGTAGATGCCTATTGTCTTTTTAAGTTAGTGGGGCATCCATAACAATGTAGTTAGAAAACTGAGCTTTTATGATTTGTGCTGATTATTTGTATCACAAAGAATGAGGAAAAGGTTTCAGAAATTGCTTGGTTTTACTTATATTAAAAAAAAAACCAACCAAACAGAAAAACCTCAAATTACTTGTATTACAAAAAAGTTCCAAAGACCTCTCCTGTGGAACCAGAAAGCAGAACAGAAGTTCTGATTTTCACATGCAATGAACATCTCTAATGTCCTCCAGCTAACTGTTATCAAGAGGGTTTTTTTATAGCCTTTAGTCAGTGCTTTTCTCCTTCCTGCAAACTGCCTTTAATTAGTGTACACTCATTGCTTCCCATTCCATCCTACACATCCTCCTGTGTTTAAAATATCTTTCCAGATCTAACACTGTTTGAGCAGACTAGGTAAAAGAGAGATGCTGAAAGAATAGTCAAAAAAGCCAGAAGATATTTAGAAGCACAGAAAAAAGGACAAATATCACAGAAATAAGGTTGCAGTTTCTCTTAGTATATCAATATCTCACCACAGTATGGCAGGGAGTGGTGGTGTCTGCTTGTTTAAGTAGATCCATTATCAGAATATTTTAGACTGTTGTTTGAAAAGATCTGTTCTTCATATTTCATGGAAAAGTAGAATGCTCTGTTTTCTGTTCTAACCCGGTAACTTTCATGGTATTAAACTAACTAATAATACCAGAAAGCATATCCCAGCACCTTTCCAGTTTCCTAAACTCTCAGGAATAAATTATGGTAGAATGGAAATGGCTACAAGATGAGAGTGTGAACAGTCTCTCCCTTTAGCATGGTGGGAATAAAAATCAAGCAGCAAATTGAGAACAAAATAAAGCTTGGAGAAGTGTTTTCTAATGTACACAAATGAATGCTAAAATTAAAAGAATAATGCAGATTTGATGAGCTTCTGCCACAGCCATTGTTTGCAAAGAGGCTGCTGAGGTTTGATAAACAGCTTAGGAACTTGGTTAGCACCATTCTCAATGAGCCTCCTGATTTGGGTTTTTTTGTTTGTTTCTCCAGATTTAAATTTCTTTTTACTTTTTTTTGTCTTTTCTTCTCTTTTTTTGGTGGGGAAGATGTTTGTTTTACAGTCTGTTTCTTTACAGAAGCTGTTCTGCTTCTCTGAAAGACAGCGTAATTTTCTTTTCTGAATTTCAAGATACTTCCCAGGACTGTCTTGCCCAGTGGGTCTGGGGTGTTGGGTTGCCAACAGACCCTTATGCAGAGCCTTTGCTGAGCATTGTATGTAAGCCACTGAAATCAGCTGTAATCTCTTCACTGTGTAAAATGAAACAAGGACAAAAGCCCTTCAATATCTAAAACTAAGTCACACAAGTAACCAAGGGCAATGTAGGATAAGCAAACTTTGACTTAACTCCAGATGAACGTAACAAAAGTTTGCATGCTTTCATTTTTCCTTTGGACTGCACAAGTGAGCTGAACAGCCTAAAGGAACAGGATTTCTCTTGAGATTCTGCTGCTGCTCACTACATGCAAACAACTATTCAGCACTTTTCTTTCCCCTAACTAGAAATTTAAAGGAAAAGAAACAGGAGAAACCGGAAAATAAGCAAAAACTGTTGTGCAGTAAATGATTTAATTAGAAGCAAATGTCTGGAGGAACCATGAAAGATTCCTGACTAAATGGTGTTATGCAATCTAAGTAAGAACTTCAATATTCATGAAGATAAGTAGCTAAATTCAACTTTCTTAAATAAGTTATTAAATGTTGATTCTTCAGCTAGTAAAAAAAAAAGAATTAAGTAATTTCTGATCAGAGTAGACTAAAATGATCACATTCACACCCACCAAAATGTTTGTCTTGCTGAAGAAGTCACCAGGTAATATAATATTAACCCAGCATTCTCCCAAGTTTTGCAACGTAACTCAGAGGGAGAACTCACTTGGATTTTTGCCAAATATATAAAATTTTAAGTGAAGAACCACCACGGGTACTTTGTGAGCAGTTTAACCTAATCTAAATCCAAAGCAAGTGCAGGTCATCTAGAAAAATGAACACGCCAAGAGTGGATACAGGTAACTGCTCAGTCAGAGAGGCACTGGCACGAGCCAGAGGGGTGGGAGCACGAGCCCACAAGTCAGTGAGATCATTGAGTGACTTTCAGTAGCTGAGTGCCCCCATCAGCTTAGGACACCCCCAAAATGGTGCCCCGAGTTCCACACAGAAAGCTGGTAAAAATTCTAGATTCAAACCAGAAAGCCCCAGAAAACAGTAACATTTCAAACAGTTGCAGAGTAAAGTTGATAAAATTCCTTAGAAAAATCTAAGAGATGTATTAATGAAAATTAATATCAAAAAGCCATTGGCCTGAACCCACTGCAATAATTCTTTATGCTAAAGTTTTATTTAACACTGTTTTGTAAGTGTCAATAGTTATGACATGAATGACTCTGATGTTAAAAAACTCTAGACTATCAAAATATAGTTAGTTTGTAAATGTTTTGGAACAAAGATGATCTTTTCAGCTGTGTTTACATATCATCTAGTACAGAGAGAGGCTGGACTGTGACTATAATTACAGTTGATGGAACTATAAAAATAATACAAATCTCTCTCCTCATACAGAGGCAGTACTGACCTGCCTTTGATTCCAGTTAGGAAAGCTCTTAGGCATCAAATTAAACTCCTTAAATAAAACCAAAGCCTCCAGCAGATGGATTATTTCCAGTGCATCCAAATATTTCTTAAGCTATAATACTCTAAATTTCACATAATTTAGGCTTTGGGAAAAAAAAAAAAAAAGGCAAAAATTGGGTCAAAACAGTCCTTTAACTCTACTTTTATAAGACAGTCTTAAATTCTGGTTTTGCCCCCTGCATTCTATGAAAGCCTCTCAAACTTATGTCATCTGCAAATTTAACAAACATATTATCTATTCTACCTTCCAGATGAAATGAAAGGAAAACAGTGACTCAATGCAGTTTCCTGGGGAATCTCAGCACACAACTAAATCTTACGTTTTGAGAGTGAACCACTGACAGCTACTCTAAGAACAAGTTCTGCCATGTGAGTTTACCTTATTCTTTAGCTTTCTGCTAAGAATGTTATTCAGAGAAGTGTTATTGAAGTCAAAATACATACCTTGCTGAAAATAGTCAAGAAGTCTGGAGTACTTCACCAAAAGTATCTGTTTGTTGTGTACCCAATTTTATTGAAGAAGGAAAGGTGTATCATTTTTCTAGAAGTGTTTTTTAGTGCTGTTCCCAAGTTGGAAGATGGGCAGTTATGCTTATTTGTTAGGAAAACAAATGTACCATGATGATAGTGAATACTGAAACAGGCTGCCCAGGGAGGCTGTGGTAACTCTCGCTGTGGAAGTGGTCAGTACCCGACTGGACACAGTCCTGAGTAACTATTTCAGACATATTTGAAGTAGGGGGGTGGACTAGATGACTTCTGCAGGCCCTTTCCAAACTAAAATAAGATTTTTCTACTCATTTAGATAGCAGTAAAAATTGAATTTGAAGTGTCACTGTATATCTCAATATATTCCTGTTCTTCACGTTTGTGTCTCTAAACAGTCATTTGCAGTGTAAATGTGTGACTATTTTACATTAATTTCTGAGGTTTCATCTTCTGACTTTTGGGGCTGCAATACCCTCAGATATGTTTCTCTTAGTTGTATTAACTTACAGTAGATGCAGGTATGTCTATTATAAAAATGTCAGGCTAGGCACAAAATTCATACCCTCATGATCACTGCATTTGTTTTTCTCTGCCATTTGCTATTCTGTGTGAGGTGTAGTACAGCAGGAACAACACTGCTGTGTCTATTCCCAACATTCCCTCTAAACCAATGGGCAAGGGCTGAATATACTCCTCTGATGCTATTATTGGGATGGATGTTGCAAGAGCAAATAAGAGTATTAGAAGGTATTTACCTCCATATAGTGTTTAAAAATCTGGTGGCTGTAATTTCTTTCAGTGTGGAAATTACATAATATCAGCGTACTTCAAGAATCTGTTTCTCAAAAATGAGTATGCTGGAAGTTTTTCCTAAGCATAAGTTAGGTTGATACTCCAGGCCAGCACTGAAATACCAGACAGGCAGAGGCTAAAGAACAGCTTTTTGTGCAGGTTAAGGGGTTTCATAAGGTGAGATGTAGAGAAAAATAAACAGCTTCTCCACATCCTATTCCTTATTTTTATTGACATTCTACTGAAGGTATGACCTTGAGCAGCCATGACCACCCATTAACCCTCTCCCTCTCCTTCCACTGTCTGCCTCAGTATTGGTCTCTTAAGATTTTCCTTCCATGCTTATTCTTCAATTTTGTTTAGTCTTCTTAAGTCAGACACTTCCAAACATTTTCTCATTCAGATCCTGAGAGATATTTATTATCAGGCTATCAGTTCAATATACATTCAATATTCATTCCTACAAGGAGTCTTGAAACAAGATTTCAGTAAATCAGAGAGGAAGTAGGTTATTTTTCACTTATTTCATCAACTTGCTTGGCATTTCTCATTTCAAGAAAATTGAAACAAATAACTGTGAAAAGCAAAAGAAACCTCTTAATCCATCTTCTGATATTATAAGAACTGAAATACCCTTAAAGAACACTTCTGCCAGTTGGCTGTCTCCACTTTGTTTTCACTTCAGGGTGATTTAGTTTCAGGATTGTTTGTGAAGGTTCAAGAGGACTTGATTTTTCTGTTAAGGAATTGTCATGGTTTAACCCAGCAGGTAGCTAAACAACACACATCTGATTGCTGTAGAATTCATGGGTTGAGATAAAGACAGTTTAACAGGACAGAAAAGGAATAATGATAAAAGAATTAGAATACACAAAACAAGTGATGCACAACGCAATTGTTCACCACCCCTCAACTGATGCCCGGCCAGTTCCCAAGCAGCAGCTCCCTGGCCAGCTTTCCCTGCAGTTTATACACTCAGGATGGTCCCACATGGTCTGGAATATCCCTTGGGTCAGCTGGGATCAGCTGTCCCAGCTGTGTTCCCTCACAGCTTCCTGTTCCCCTCAGCCTCCTCACTGGCAGGGTGGTGAGGGAAGCTGAGGAGTCCTTGACTTGTAAACACTGCTTAGCACCAACCAAAATATCAGTGTGTTACCCACATTACTCTCATCCTAAATCCAAAATACAGCACTGTACCAGCTACTAAGAAAATTAAATCTATCACAGCTAAGACCAGGACAGGACTACAGGAAAAAACCAAACTGAAAGACACTTAGGATCTCTGTCTTGAAAGTTCCCATTAACTTGACACAGAAGCTTTTTTTAAGTTCACTCTTTCAAATCTCTTTCTTTCCATTTTGCCTCCCATCCTCTTCCACCCAAATTCCACCTTTCTTCCAAATTCCTTTGCTGTATCTTAGGCATTCCACCTCCCCCTCTAAGCACTCCCTTAATTTCCCAGCTCTCAGCTTCACCGTGTGTCCCCAAACTGCATTTTTCTCATGCTGCCACTGTTCTTCCTCCCCATTTAGAAACATCTTGTATAATTCACAATGCCAGTTTGCATTCTCATCAGACAATTCATTAACTCTATTTTCTAGTGAACTACACTAAGTTGGGGTAATTGGCACTTATAGATCCATCATTATGTAGCCCTGACACTAGCACACATATTAATGTACAATACCAATAAAAACATATCTGCAAACATTGAATAGAAGTAATGTCTAGTTTTAAAAGGAAGGGTTAAGCTAAAAATGTAAAGTAGGAAACATCCACTGTATTTAGAAAAGATTTCATCTACTGCCTCCTCTTTCCTGTCAGCAAAGTCAGAGTGGAATGGAAGAGACCTCAAGTAAGGAATAGCAGCAGCCAGGATCCAGCCTGGCTCAATCTGTTCTGGCAGGGATTTGATGGATCAGCTCTGGATAGGTCTAACTCCCAATTAAACTCAGCTGCTAACAGCTGAGAAGCCATTAAAGGGAATATATAAACTGCAGCTAAGTATGATGGTGACATGTTTTGTTTCTAGCTTGTTAAACCAGTAATTGTTATTGCAAGTAGCTGTCATTCCCACAGCATTGGCTTCTTGTTGACAATGAAGAAAACTCATTTGTTTTAGTGTGGAGCTTAATTTACTTCATGGTTGGTTTCCTTCTCTGCCTGTCAATCCCAGACCTCTGAGAAAGAACTGCAGTGAGTTTTATGACAAGCAGAAAGAGCTGTAACTAAACAGCCAGTACAAAAACTATTGTTTCTTACTGATGAAGGGGTTTTTGAAAGGCACATAGGATCAAAAACTCCATTTTGAATCATATTAGCCAAGACTGCCAGTCACTGACTTCACCCAGATTGGCTAGTGATCTGTGTTTTGTACGTAGCAATCCCTTTGTTTTGTATGGTTTTTAATTAAATTTGACCACTCCAGAATAAATTAACTCTGCAAAGTTGATTATCTGTGGGCCTTTAGCCATTTGTGTCTCCAACAGCCAACTGTTCATACCACCAGTCAAGAACATGGTTATAACCACATCAGGAGTGTATGGAAGAGAGAGACCCATTATTACCTCATGGAAATGCAAATGAAACCTTTATAGTACAGATGCAATTTATGTAGAAAAAACATCTTGTTGGCATTCAGGTTGTTCTGTTCAGGAAACATTTCTGCTGACCTAAAGAAGGTTTCTGTAAGCTGTGTCATCCCTAGGAGGGTTTGGCCATACAGCAAACCTTTCCTGAGGTGGTTAATATTCAAAACCACGTTACCTTAACATAGTCAGGCTACATCTGTCTGTACAGAATGACACCAGAAGTGCAGTTTCTGAAAGCTGGGGAAAAAACTTGAGTAGTACAAAAATCCTTTGATGGCAACTGTACTGTCCTGTACCAAAGCAAAAGTTCCTCCAGTAGCTGTGAGAAGGCACATACTGCAGCATGAGGGCATTTCCCTACAGGGAGCTACAGAAGAAGGCCCTGTAAACAAAGTCCATGGTTGAGAAGGGTGTTTTTTGAAGCCTGGTTTAAGATTCAGTGGAAGCACCATGTACTGTGCTGAGTTCTGCAGAGATACATTAAAATGGGGAGTTTTATTCAGGTACCCAGTTTGAACAGGCCTTGAACAGACTGGCTAAGCCTTCCTGAACACAAAGATAAAAATCTAACTAAATCCAGAGCTATGCAACTGAAGACTCCAGCCAGCAGGAGCTGCTGCAGAAGCCACTAAGAGGCCTGATGCACAGGAAAGAGGAGCAAGACCAAAGCTCCATCACACAGATGAGGGGCTAAGAGAACTCAGTGGTTATTCCTGCCCTGTCTTCCACATTCTTTGCCTACATGGCAAGAGACCCATGAAGGCTGGGGCCAGTGAGAAGCTGCAGCAGTAACCTGGTTGGGGACCTTGAGGCATTCAGACCTTTGAAGCACTGTCTGTTCCACGCTGCTCTTCACTTCAGCTTCCTTCTCTTAGTTTCCTCTGACCTGCCCTGTTCTCATGACTCACACTGCCCTTCAAATACCTCATTCTTTGTGTTACCTCGACACATTCTAAACAAATCCAATTAGAAGATGACAGATAAAATTAATGCATCCCTCATTAACACAGTATCATTTATTCATCTTGTGTTGTTCCTTGCTTTTACACTTTCTCTGTCATCTGTCATTGTCAAAAAGCATTCTTGCTTACTTGTCTAATTAGGCTAACTCTGTGTTAGGAGAGCATCCAGCATGAGGAGATCTCCTTTTTTCCAAACCTCTAAGCCCACCCACAAGAAACACCATCAACAACAAAAGCAGGTCCACATACACTCAGTAGGCTCTTGGTGTCATCCCTTATATCATCCCACCACTACAGGCTTTTATCTCACATCAAAGTTTGGGTCTAACACCTGGCTGTCCTCCCCTGCTCTCAGATCCCTGTGCAGTCCAGCCACAGCCCCTTTGGAGTTCAATCTGCCAGCACTCTTTCAAACTGTTGCACTCTGCATAACACATGTTCTTCACCCCCCATCACTCAGAGGATATGTGACTCCCCACAGCTCCTGTTCTGCTCGCTGCTATCACACACATTAAACCCCAGCTGCTGTAACAAG